TAGTGGTAGTAGTGGTAGTCGTAGTCGTCGTAGTAGTAGTAGTAGTAGCAGCAGCAGCAGCAGCAGCAGCAGTAAGTAGTAGTAGGAGCTGATGCTGCTAATGCCGCTACAGTTACTACCACTGCGACGACGACTCACACTCAGCAACCCTGTAAACCCTGTTAGCGAGGGGGGGAGGGATGCGGGAGGCGGGAGTGTCCTTAATTATGTCCTGGCGTTGCGAGTACAAGGAGCCTGCAGCTCTGACCGAGAGATGCGGTCACCGCGGCTGCTGAACGCCCGAGCCGCGCCCTCAAGATCCTAGCACGACGGGGGGTTTGTAGGAGGGTCTTACGTGGTGCATAGGTTTACGAAACTAGACATGAGTGTGCGTACCTCACACAAGGCATCTGTATATACTGTAATGGGTCCTCTTTGGTATTTGTGATAGGTCGTCGCTCAAACAGAGTGCGCCGGTTGTCTTAATGTTCAGCAAGGCTATTTGACGAAGAGCTTGTGGAGCACTTGGAAATAGGATGGTATGGTATCCATTTCGAAGGGGACCGGATCCTTGCAACAAGATCTGAACTAGCCATGCGTAAGAGCCAGGTCCACACCCCGCTCCCTAAGCGACTCGAACCGCATGATGCCGAGCCCTCTACCCTTGGGATGGGCTTTGACCAAGTCGCAGGCCAACTACACCAACTACAAGCACCAATTGCAGCAGGTTCTCCAAACTGGATGTTTGCGTCATCCCCTCCCCTGCTTGCAAGAGGTCTTCAACCTGAGTTCGACGGTAGCCCAAATCTAAATCCCCGCACGACAATCTCCTCCCGTGGCGGAAGACCTCCCGCGAAAACAAGGGCAATGCAAGCCTCGCTGTTTAGGCAGAGGTGTAGATCAAGGCGGATCGGTAATGGGGAAGCGTCAGAACATTCAGAACTGGGATGTTGCGGCATGTGCAAAAGGGTGGTCTCGAGGGGGCAGCTGCTGCACACGACAAGGTATCAAATGCCCTAGAGCACTGATCTGAATCTCGTCCCGGGGTTGTCGGAGACACCTGCCCGTTGTAGTTTGTTCTTGGGCTTTTGCGGGATAGGCACCGTACTCCATCCACTAGGAATGACCAGGACCCTGTGGAATACACTCTGTTTCGCATCAACCCCCGCCCACACAAGCACCCTGTCCCCAGTTCTATCTCCAAGGTGCTACATGCCTTTGGTGCTCCTGCTCAGGCATCGTCAAAGAAAGTGAGAAGACTGCGAGAGCATACTCTCCGATTCGCGACAGAACCTGAACCAAGCTCCCAATGTCCCCGACAGGCTCAATCACCCCAGCTACGAGTAATTACCCCAGAACCCTTGTCCTGTTGTGTCTCGTAGAGCATGAGATCTTCAACCTGCCAGCGCGAGAATCACTTAACTTCGACGCCGGAACCCGTAAAGGTCTCAGGAATTGAATTTTGAGCTAATCAAAGGATGGGAATGTCAGTCTGAAGGCTACCCGATTCGCAAAGCTTTGGAGCCCTTCTGCCTGTCAAACCTGGCTATTGGGCCCAGCTGTGCAGGAAAGACATCAGGCCTGCCAATGCTCAGCCCAACAAAGTCCCTCATTTCCCAATCCCGCAATCAAATCTACATCACGAGGGTCACCTGGAGCGTCCTCTTTGGCCACCAGTCGTCCAAGAAGCTGAAGCCTACACATGATGAGCGTCGCTGGTTGAGGGCCCACTGTAGGGCTAGGGCCGTCAGTGCCTGTAATCCGTGCGTTTAGGCAGTGGGAAGGAGAACGGCATGATCGTAGCATGTAGGAGTGATCAGGACATACATGTTGAGCTTAATTACAGGCTCAGGTTTAGGTTCCGCCAACACGTCCATCTGCTGAAGGTGCATGCCGACCAGGGGCGTGTCACAGCAGATGCAACCACTCCTTTGGCCCCCAACACGAACGCCTGTAAGGACAGCTGTGCCCACACTGCTAACCATACGAAACCCTTTCTCTACAAAACCGTCCATAGCCTGTCGCCGAACGGTGCACGTTGAATCCTACAGCCTGTATAAGGTGTCCTGCGGTCACAGAGAATTCTCCGCTTAGACCACAACGTGGGGCCTAGCCAGCCGAAAACCGGCCCCAAGCAGCGATGAAGGCATCCCTGGATCATCCTTGGCTGTGGTTCATTGCGATGTCTCTTGTGCGGGACAGCACCGGCCCGAGACTTTCACAATTTTGATCCAGTGGAAGCTGTGGGCTCATTAGTTCCGCTTATTGGTTTTTCAGGCCGTAGGATTCCAGCGTGCGGCGCAAGCTTGACAAAGTGCCGGTGGACCATGGTAGACCCCTCCCTATACAGCATCGTACAACATAGTATTCCGCTTGAGGGTAGAAGTTTTGCGTGGAGACACGTTCGGTCGCCACACCGCGGTGGCCGTCGTACGTCAAAGCCCGACAGAAACTCCAACACGTGTGTAGATTTAGGCATCTCAAACCCTCGACCCTAGGCACCTTGAACATAGGTGGAGAAGTTCCACTTAGGATGAAGCCAGGCATCCAAGCAGTGCTCTCGATTGCATCATTATCGACTGGAGCCTTGTAGCCTGGCATGCCGCTTCAGACACTGTCTTTCTGTCTCTGAGATTCTCCGAGACCGTTGCACTCATCGACCTAAGTCCTTTTGTCGAAGCGTTTAGATGAAGCCCACGGGTTTGGACAGTGGTCTTGCACCAGGCTCCTCTCTCGAATTGCGCAGCAATTCGCCTCTGAGCCACCATCTCCAAGTCTTGCCAGAACTGCACAGTCACATGCGAATTCCGAAGGCCTCCAGAAGGCTGGGCGGCCCCTATACGGGTGGGCTCTGGAAGCAGGTGGCGGGCCTCCAGGTCCTCAAGAGCAGCCCGAGGCGCATAGGGGAACAGGAAACAGAAACAGTAGCCTGCAGTCTTCGGGACCAATGCTTAAGGCTCTAAACAGCAGGGACCGTTTCGGCTCCTCACCCTGCGCTGCGCCTCTGCTTGCCGGCTCTGCAAGGCGCGTGGCACCGGCAGCGAGGACCAGAGATCGTGAGCCGCAAGTTCGTGGTTGTAAATTCGAGAAAGACTACAATCGTAACAGGAGTTCGGGAGCAGGCAGCGTGGTCTTGAATGCGCTCAAGGTGGGCCCAGCACATGGCACTCGTACAAGAGACCGGCAAGTCCCACTTGTGCTCTGCGTGCTTCTAGTTGCTGCGCTGCTGCTACTTACATGCCCAAAGGCTCGCATTCAATGACTCTATCCTGCTCCGACTACCTGTCAGGCAGAAACCTCGGAACCCAAGGAGGAATGTCTACCCCGGAGATCTGGAGCAAAGGTGAGTCAAGGTGAGTGCTATCTGCAGTCTGGATCACATTCCAAAGTTTCTACTTAGTACTTCGTCCTGCGGCGAGCCACTTTGGCTCACTTCGGGCACTTTGAGATAGGCTGCAGCGAGCTTCAGCAATGCATGGCCAAGGCAGCAGAGGGGGGATGCTGAATGTCTGGCCCTGAACGACGCTCAAAGCCCCAAATGCCGAAATTCACAACTTGGACAAAGCCCCGGTTACTCCACCGAACGACGGTTTCTGTTGACTTGTGCCCCTGAACTCCGGAAGGTCAAGCCGTATGACTCGCACCGGCAAGGAGGTGCCCCTTCTAGGCTGCGTGCGCGGCCACCGGCAGCAAAAGCCGCACGTCCTGCAGACTTCAGTTGTACCGTCCTGGCCTCTGCCTGCCCGTGTGTTCAAGGAGCTTACAACTGGCGATGTCACCAAATAAAACCCTGTGTCTTAAGCAAGGAAAAGCTGCTTCAAACTGACACCACGCGTCCGCAGCGGAGAAGAGTACACACACACACACTGTCATATACTCACAGGTACGGTACGGGCAGCGTGAAGGCATTCCTCCAAGGACTGGACGAGTGGCACGGCATCCATAGAATAGTCGTAGCCTCGCTGAAACCAAAACTCGCCTAGTTGAGTTCACATGTCCGGGCTCGCCTAAATGCCAAGCCCGAAAGCCTTGTTAACCTTTGCTCCCCCAGCACCGGACCTGGCCGGGCATCATTGCAGTAACAGCCCAAGGCCCCAAACCGCTGCCCCAAAACTCCATTTCCTCAAACTCTCAAGCTTGCAGAAGAGTTTGTTAGATTCTGTTAGATCCTTCTGCAATCGCGGCAGCTGTAGGGAGTGCTGTAGGTTGAGGATGCCGGACAGTGCCACGAAGCGATGCATCAGGCTTCGAAGGACATGCAGGAGGAGAAACCGCACAGGAACACGAAAAAAACATGTCTTCAGGCATGATGTTGCCTCCACTGCTGGGTAAGCCGAGAGCCCTTGTTTCAGGGAAGCGACAGAGAGGATCCGCAAGAGAGGCAAATCACGGTCCTTGAGATTCTGGCCAGGGTCCAAAGCTACAGAACTTCCAGTGGTACTTTAGTAGAAGATTCTCGATTTCATCGTATTTCCCACATTTGCAGAAATCTGTCCCTGAGGGCTGTCTGCCTGGCTTGATCTGACATAGTCTGAGTCAACGCATGGTCTGAGTGCGTGGACAGATGCAACAGGGCGCAACCGATCGCAAGAGTAGTCGAAGAGAATCACAAGCTTCTTGGCCAGAGACATCAAAATGCGCCACGACTGCGACTTGCCCAAGCTCTCAGGGTGTGCAGGCACTCCCGAGACATGGGAAGTGGCGTGGGTACGGATGCTGCCGGGCCCCGCACAGAGAAAAACGGGCCAAGCGAGCAGCTTCACGTACCTTATCGCACTTTGGGTGCTTTCGAGGCTTGCTAGGCTCTGTTTGGAGGTGCGGGCAAGGGTGATTGAGTTACGGTCATACCTTGGTCAATCGCGAAAGGCCAAGCTGAATGCCGTTGCCAGTCGCACTTCGTCTTGCGTTGTGCGGCAATCGGCCCCTGAACTCACGCCCGGGCACGCTTGAAGGCAGCAGCCGTTCAGTCTTCCAAGGAGAGTTCCACCACAAGTCGGACACATCCGATCTGAACCTATTTGCGGACCATAGGCTTCGTTGCTGCCCCGGAGGAACTTCGAGCTCCTTCTCTATACCTCAAGCCAAGCCGTTTGTGCTCAGGGCTCGGCATGCCGTGTACCAGCCCGTAGGACAAGAGTCGAACGTAGGAGTCTTCGGAGGCCGCGATGGGGTTGCTGTACCTTTGCTAGCTCTCACAACCGCCATGACGCATCACGTCAGGCTGTATGCTTGGACCGCACTGCGCTGACGCTACTGCTGATCTTGGTGATGATAGTGGTGATGATGGTGGTGGTGATGGTGGTGGTGATGCTTAGCAACGATGACGATGGTGCTGTTGATGAGGATGAGGATGAGCCATGCGACATTGATTGATAGTTGATGGCGAGACGGTGGCGATGGTGGAAATGATGGCGGTAATTGCGCGGATGATGCCGAAGCTGTTGCTGATGCCGTTGGTCATGGCGGCCATGGTGGCAAAGCAAAGACCGTCACGATGACAGAAGACCAAGGGCACATTATGCGTTTGATCATACCTTCATAAACAACGCTTAGTCAGAGGTTTGACCCTCCCAGCTCCGGGAATGAGTGAGAATGCGCATCTCCGAGAAGGAGAACTGCGAAACACCCCAACCACTCGGGGCACGGGTCCATGCGCGCGATCTGCGTCCCAGAGGTGTACCAAACTCTGGCAACGCCTGCTGCAACGTGGGCTCCGTGCTTGGACAATGACGGGCTGGTGACTAGCACAGAGGTCGGACTCAGACTTGACTGTTACTTGGCACCATCCATGAGAAGGCACGGAACTTACCACAATTTGGAGCTTTTGAGACGTGTAAGGTCGTGGCACGCAGCGCTGCCGATGACGAGCAGGGCGAGGACCTGTCAGCACTTTCTTCGTCACAATCATCCGCCACCGCTTTCTGCCAAACCAGCCCGGCAGCCCTAAAGCCCGAATCCTGTGACCTCGATGCGTCTGGTCCCTACCAAAGCTCCGCTATACATTAATTAGTTAAAGCTTCGAAAGGGTTCTGAGATTTTGCATACTCCCCAGGGCCCTTCATGCCCGAAGTGCACTTTCAAGAGCCAAAACCCTGTTCCGACTCATGCCCTCAGAACAGTTTGAGGCAAACAAAACCGAGGCGTCGACACGCAAGAGCCGCTGCAAACCACAACCTGTCGATGAGAAGGGAAGAGTTTGGAGCTTGGGGCGTTAATATAGTATACGGTATACCACAATATAATACACTCTGCAGAAGTCTGGAGGTCAGGTCTTGCAGCACCTGATTAATCTACATGGCTGTGCAAGCACTCGCTGCCCTCATGAGGCTATTTGCAAGCATCGTCTCTCGGACCACGAATGCCGCAAGGTCGGAGCTTCAACAGCTCAAAGTCTGAAAGAGAGAAGCAGCGATTGCCAGCGGCAGATCGAAAGTAGCTTGGAAAGAGCACTAGCCCTAACTTTCGAGTCCACTCGCCCCGACTCCTAGCCACCACGGCCAAACCAAGTTCTGTCAAGCACGGCAGAGCTACCAAGTTGACCTCGCAGGAGGGCCAGGACCTGCTTGGAGACTCTCCGGCAAGGGAGCGGGGGGTGCACATGGAGTCGGGTGGCGGAGGATGGAGCTTTGTGAACTTGCAACAATCGAGACTCAACCAACTTCGACTCGAACTCGGTACTGCGAGCTCTGGACTTTGAAGGCAGATCTACTACGGCCCCAAAAAACCCTGTATAGAAACCCTTATAGATCCNNAAGAAAGTGAAGCCGGTCTCCTCGCAGACTGCGAGGTTTTGAGAAACAGTTCTCCAGGTACTTGACTTCCGACCTTACTGTGCTAGCAATTGGCCGTTGATCTAAATTCCTTGATCCAGGAATGACAGTCTTCTCGAAAAGAAATGCATTGCGCCAGACTACGTAGTACCATCGTAGAGCATTGCGCAACTTTGCAAGTCCAGAACCCCAAATTATGAAGCATGCTTTGGAAGCTTGCTGCTCGAGGGCGTCTCAAAAGCTTCGTAGGGCATGTTCACGGTGTTTGCGAGGTTTTGTCGAGCTTCTAGGGAAATTATCTGGGGCTTCTTGAGGGTGTCTCAGGGGCTTCTGAAGGCTTCTTACGGATTTTGCAAGGCAGGTTTCACGACGGCCAACAATGATCATCATCCCGAGCAGTCACTCTAAGCTCTGGCTACACCAGCTTTAGTGACACGAGGAAGAGCCTACACTCTAGTCGCTGTGGTGATACAAGAAGTTGGCACCTGCACCTTACTAGTAGTAGTACTGATGCTGCTAATGTTGCTGCTCCTCCTCGCTCCTGTCCCTGCACTGCTCTTTCTCCTGCTGGGAGTACTACGACGACGACGACGACGACTACTGCTACTGCTACTGCTACTGCTACTGCTACTGCTACTGCAACTGCTGCTCCTACTACTCCTGCGGCTACTGCCACTACAAC